AACAATTTTTATCCTATTAGCTATAGTTCCTGACGCAATTTTGTACACAATGTTTAATAGTGATATGGGTCTCCACCTTTTTAGTGAAATGCCTTGTTTTATCTGCTTTTGGTATACAAGTTATTATTCCCTGTCTCTGCGTTAAAAAAAGTTGTCCTGTACGATAACCAAAATTTATTGATCTGACTATAAACTCCCCCAGTTTTCCCCAAAAGCATTTGAAAAATTCTGTTGTAAATCCATCTGACCCTGGGCTTTATCTGACCCTATCCCAGTACTAATATCTGTTTTTTTATCCAAATTGAGGATTGGGAACAGTCCAAAAATTGTATATTAACGATCATACATGTTCAGTGTTTTCTAAGAGGTAGAGCATCACGCATCATTCAACATGGCCGCCCGTCAGCCATCTTAGTATTCCATTTAGCCGCAAAATGTTATATGGGCAACTACAGATCATGGGAAAACATGCATGTTAAGTTTGAGACCGATCCGTTACTTTCTGAGAAATAGCTCTAACAAGAATTTTTAAGGACCGATAGACGACGAACCACAAACGATGGACATTATGAAGAGCACACCATCTGATGATAATGGCCTAATAATCTGTCTAATGATTTAAGACTAGACTTTACAACGAATTATGTTATGACCATGATTTTAAATTTATATGCAAATCAAATTTGATCACAATAAATGTAGAACTGCATTAATACAGCATTTATAAAACAAACGGGAATAAGTCGATCAACAAGAATACTGACAGGTCAGCAAGTGCCTCGCTGTATGCTCGACAGTGTATCTCCCGCAGCAAAATTGATCATTTTGGATTTAGTGATATTGATAATATGGCCTTTTTTATGTAGAGTGTGACAAACGGCAAATATGAAAAGCTGACTCCGTACTCACACGGTTGCGTATTTTTCTGCATGAAATATACTTAACACTGATAAAGTGAAAATCAATAACTTTAGTTCATTTATTTTTAAATATGAATTATTATATAAGCGTATATCTTTAGCTCACCTGCCCGAAGGGGCAGAGGGGTGGGGCCAATAGGGGAAATAGAGGGAAAACCTTTCTACTGTAGAAATGAAGGGATTTTATCCTTTTTTGGTCTGGAGCATTCCTTAGACCAAGTCCCTGCAGGTAGGGCGTAAGAATTGTACCTGCTGCCCCCAATTGCATGATCGTTTGTTTGTTTGTTTGTTTGATTTTGTTTAACGTCCTATTAACGGCTAAGGTCATTTAAGGACGGCCTCCCCTGTGTGCAAGATGCATGCGTGTAGTGTATGTGTGTGTAGTTTGGGAGGCTGCGATATGTTCGTGTTCGTAAGAGGCGACTAAATTTGGGACCTTGTCCATTCTCTTCTTTCTAAACATCTTTCTTCTTCCTAATGTCTGGACCACGAACGAAGTGCAATATGAATACAACACCATCTGATGACGATGGGCTTAGAATCCGTTCATTATTAACGTATAATTATAAATGCAAATAATTGAATTTGCTCACAAGTGACATTTCGGGTATTATTGCGAGGTAAATGACGTTAATATGCATTTTTATTGCTGTTTTAAGCACATAAAACTTCATATAATGGTTAAAAGGATAGTCGTTTGTTTGTTTGTTTGTTTGATTTTGTTTAACGTCCTATTAACGGCTAAGGTCATTTAAGGACGGCCTCCCCTGTGTGCAAGATGCATGCGTGTAGTGTATGTGTGTGTAGTTTGGGAGGCTGCGATATGTTCGTGTTCGTAAGAGGCGACTAAATTTGGGACCTTGTCCATTCTCTTCTTTCTAAACATCTTTCTTCTTCCTAATGTCTGGACCACGAACGAAGTGCAATATGAATACAACACCATCTGATGACGATGGGCTTAGAATCCGTTCATTATTAACGTATAATTATAAATACAAATAATTGAATTTGTTCACAAGTGACATTTCGGGTATTATTGCGAGGTAAATGACGTTAATATGCATTTTTATTGCTGTTTTAAGCACATAAAACTTCATATAATGGTTAAAAGGATAGTCGTTTGTTTGTTTGTTTGTTTGATTTTGTTTAACGTCCTATTAACGGCTAAGGTCATTTAAGGACGGCCTCCCCTGTGTGCAAGATGCATGCGTGGAGTGTATGTGTGTGTAGTTTGGGAGGCTGCGATATGTTCGTGTTCGTAAGAGGCGACTAAATTTGGGACCTTGTCCATTCTCTTCTTTCTAAACATCTTTCTTCTTCCTAATGTCTGGACCACGAACGAAGTGCAATATGAATACAACACCATCTGATGACGATGGGCTTAGAATCCGTTCATTATTAACGTATAATTATAAATGCAAATAATTGAATTTGCTCACAAGTGACATTTCGGGTATTATTGCGAGGTAAATGACGTTAATATGCATTTTTATTGCTGTTTTAAGCACATAAAACTTCATATAATGGTTAAAAGGATAGTCGTTTGTTTGTTTGTTTGTTTGATTTTGTTTAACGTCCTATTAACAGCTAAGGTCATTTAAGGACGGCCTCCCCTGTGTGCAAGATGCATGCGTGTAGTGTATGTGTGTGTATTTTGGGAGGCTGCGATATGTTCGTGTTCGTAAGAGGCGACTAAATTTGGGACCTTGTCCATTCTCTTCTTTCTAAACATCTTTCTTCTTCCTAATGTCTGGACCACGAACGAAGTGCAATATGAATACAACACCATCTGATGACGATGGGCTTAGAATCCGTTCATTATTAACGTATAATTATAAATACAAATAATTGAATTTGTTCACAAGTGACATTTCGGGTATTATTGCGAGGTAAATGACGTTAATATGCATTTTTATTGCTGTTTTAAGCACATAAAACTTCATATAATGGTTAAAAGGATAGTCGTTTGTTTGTTTGTTTGTTTGATTTTGTTTAACGTCCTATTAACAGCTAAGGTCATTTAAGGACGGCCTCCCCTGTGTGCAAGATGCATGCGTGGAGTGTATGTGTGTGTAGTTTGGGAGGCTGCGATATGTTCGTGTTCGTAAGAGGCGACTAAATTTGGGACCTTGTCCATTCTCTTCTTTCTAAACATCTTTCTTCTTCCTAATGTCTGGACCACGAACGAAGTGCAATATGAATACAACACCATCTGATGACGATGGGCTTAGAATCCGTTCATTATTAACGTATAATTATAAATACAAATAATTGAATTTGTTCACAAGTGACATTTCGGGTATTATTGCGAGGTAAATGATGTTAATATGCATTTTTATTGCTGTTTTAAGCACATAAAACTTCATATAATGGTTAAAAGGATAGTCGTTTGTTTGTTTGTTTGTTTGATTTTGTTTAACGTCCTATTAACGGCTAAGGTCATTTAAGGACGGCCTCCCCTGTGTGCAAGATGCATGCGTGTAGTGTATGTGTGTGTATTTTGGGAGGCTGCGATATGTTCGTGTTCGTAAGAGGCGACTAAATTTGGGACCTTGTCCATTCTCTTCTTTCTAAACATCTTTCTTCTTCCTAATGTCTGGACCACGAACGAAGTGCAATATGAATACAACACCATCTGATGACGATGGGCTTAGAATCCGTTCATTATTAACGTATAATTATAAATGCAAATAATTGAATTTGTTCACAAGTGACATTTCGGGTATTATTGCGAGGTAAATGATGTTAATATGCATTTTTATTGCTGTTTTAAGCACATAAAACTTCATATAATGGTTAAAAGGATAGTCACGGCAAAACCTTAGGTGTGCTAACAGACAGAGAACAACAAAGATAAAAGCGAAAACAAAAAAGTATGTTTTGGATTTATTTTGGTTTAACGTCCTACTAACAGCTAAGGTCGTTAATGACGTCAAATCGGATGAAAAATGATCAGGTTTATTGGCAGTATAAGCGCAAGTGTAACTCACAACAGTCCAAAATATAGAAATTTGTTTTAACAACTGGCAAGATCGAAACACAATAGCTTCACACGCAGGATTATAAGTATACAGAAGTTACAACAAATAACATTTAGATACTTTAACACTATGCCTACCTTCGATACTGTTCTCTGTCAATGTGTGCCCAGCTATCGTTATAACCAATGCATGTCCAACTATAGTTATTTATAAACAACATCTGGCATAATGCACGTACCAACATGCACCAATGTCTGCCTCGGGTTAGCCAATATCTCCATATGATTATTTGGAATCCCTTGCTATTCCTACATGAATAATCAACGATATCCTATTATAAAGTTAATCAATATTTTCGCATCAGTGTCCTGATAAAAAAAACATTGTCTGCTACGTATACCTACATCGCTTCACGCTACCTATGCTTCGGCAGGTTACTTATGATTTTTGTTAAGTTAATTAAATGCACACGGATATGTACGCCACGGGTGTATTTAATCGGCTATGTTTTCATCTCGCGGTAGAGTCCCATATGGTCTTTTACAGTCATGGTAAAACATTTATGAAGACGTTTCAACGTTGTACAGTAAATGTTAATGCGTGGCCACACGCTTTTTTTGGTTTAGTTTTGTTTAACGTCCTATTAACAGCTAAGGTCATTTAAGGACTTTGGGCCAGGGCATAAAAGTAAGGTTGATTTACATATAATTCGGGAACGAATAGGTTTGGTTTAGTATTTTTTAACGTCCTAACAACAGCTATATGTATGGTCATTTAAGGACGGCCTCCCCTGTGTGAAAGATGCATGCGTGTAGTGTACCCGTGCGTGTTTTGAAGGCTGCGATATATGCGTGTTTGTCTCCTTCTGATAGTGCGAACTGATATCGACTTTATAGTGTTACAACACTGATACATACTGCCGAAGACACCCAGCAGGACACACCACCGGTCACATTATACTGACAAGGGGCGAACAGGCCCGTTGTATCCCAGTGCAATTTTAGAAAAAGATTCCTACTGGTTTATCTTGGAAATAGAACTAATATCTGTTTTATCCAAATTGAGGATTGGGAACAGTCCAAAAATTGTATATTAACGATCATACATGTTCAGTGTTTTCTAAGAGGTAGCGCATCACGCATCATTCAACATGACCGCCCGTCAGCCATCTTAGTATTTCATTCAGCCGCGAAATGTTATATGGGCAACTACAGATCATGGGAAAACATGCATGTTAAGTGTGAGAAAGATCCGTTACTTTTTGAGAAATAACTCTAACAAGAATTTTTAAGGACCGATAGACGACGAACCACAAACGATGGACATTATGAAGAGCACACCATCTGATGATAATGGCTTAAGAATCTGTCTAATGATTTAAGACTAGACTTTACAACGAATTATGTTATGACCATGATTTTAAATTTAAATGCAAATCAAATTTGATCACAATAAATGTAGAACTGCATTAATACAGCATTTATAAAACAAACGGGAATAAGTCGATCAACAAGAATACTGACAGGTCAGCAAGTGCCTCGCTGTATGCCCGACAGTGTATCTCCCGCAGCAAAATTGATCATTTTTTATGTAGAGTGTGACAAACAGCAAATATGAAAAGCTGACTCCGTACTCATACGGTTGCGTATTTTTCTGCATGAAATATACTTAACACTGATAAAGTGAAAATCAATAACTTTAGTTCATATATTTTTAAATATGAATTATTATATAAGCATATATATTTATCTTCCACAATGCGCTGTATTATTCCACTCTCAGATCATTGTATAAACATGCAGACTGTTGAATAAATAAGTTGAGTTATACACCACACGTGGTATATGACCTTCTGTAGTTTTGATTGGTCGAGAAGATGAACCTTGACCGGACACATTTTTTTCACGCGGTTTTTGCCGCTTGTTGTATTGTTTACGTCGTCTGCTGTCAACATCCGGCAAATGTAGGTGACTTTTGTGAGGTTATGCGATGGGAAAAGGGGGTTATTAAGGCAATACCAAAAGAAGACGATGCTAAAAGATTTGATCGCTAGTTTCAGGCAAAATTGCTACAGACGCTCGATTTAAGCATTGAACTGTATTTGATGAATAGATGAGTATCTGGGGGGGGGGTGTTGCTAAGGAAATCCGCCATCTTGGATCCAAGACGGCGTCTTAGCAACCCCCTTAACCTAGGGCCCCAGATCCTCATCTATTCATCATGTGTTTTTTTGCGTGTGACGTCATCAATTTTAGTGTTACCGACTGAATTATCTCCCCAATAGGTGTGTATATTGAGTGTGACGTAACTAACTCCCCTTGTTTCTGACTTTTTACCTGCTGATTTCAGGTATTGCATCTATGGACTGTCTCTCTCTCTCTCTGCAATGCTTGACAGACCTGCGAACCTTGCATGAGGAGAAAGAATGCATACAGAAATGAAAATCGCTATTACTTGTACATAGTTTTCAATAGGTGTGTGTATTGCGTGTGACGTCATCAATTTGGCATTTACCGACGGAATTAGCTCCCCTTGTTTCTAACTTTTACCTGCTGATTTCAGGTATTCTCTCTCGGCGACGATGTTTCGTTGTTTTTTTTCTCTCTTTTCGTTTCTTTTCTCCTCTTTTTAATCGTATATTTTCATTTTCCTTGATAATCTTATGCATAAAACATATTTACAAACAATAAATAGTTACAACATGCGTTATTTACAATATAAAATTTATTTATTTACATTGTGTTCGAGTGTGGTATCAAATTGAGATGAACCTTTTTTTTCGTGTAGGAAGTGATTGTGTTTGTGTCGGTGCTGTAGCAGGTGCTGTAGCGTCCTTGTTTGAACTAAAAATAATAGTTAACACGTAAACAATTCACAAAGATACATTAGCTGGAGGTATGATAAAAGAGTAAGGTAAGTGATTCCATAATCTTTTCGGATAATATACCCACAGGGTAGTGTAGATTATGTGCGTGTCTTTGTTTGTACATGTGTTGTCTGTGCTGTTTCTAGATGCGGTCCCTGTTGTTACTGATTGCCTGTCGTTCTCTTTCTCAGACTGGATGGTTAGTATAAGATTGTCCAAGTCGTACGGGAAGCTTAAGATGACGTCACGATCGTCGAATTTGACGTCACCATCATCGATCGATATTGGGGGAGTTATCTCCCCTTGTTTATAACTTTTACCTTCTGATTTAAGGTATTCTCTCTCTCGGCGACGCTGTTTCGTTTTTTTCTCTACTCCTTATGCATACATACCCCCCCCCCCCCCCCCCCTATCACCACGCAAGACTTGTCAACAAAATATGTGTATGCTATTCAAATCAGGAAATACTCAAGCTGTTTCCGACTGAGATTGTGGTAGAAACAGATCACACGACTCGTGGTTTTTGAGTATGGTATTTATTTCACTTTCGTTAGAAAGACACTCGCTAAAACTCTTTTGTAACTTTTGAAAATTAACTACCTCGAGTGAAATAAATACCACGTTCAACAACCATCCGTTGTGTAGCCACTATTTAACTCACCTACCCGAAGGAGCAGAGGGATGGCCAATAGGGGAAATAGGGGGAAAACCTTTCTACAGTAGGAATGAAGGGATTTTATCCTTATTTGGTCGGGAGCATTCCTTAGACCAAGTCCCTTCAGGTAGGGTGTATGAATTGTACCTGCTGCCCCCAAATGTAAGAGGCGACTAAATTTGGGACCTTGTCCATTCTCTTCTTTCTAAACATCTTTCTTCTTCCTAATGTCTCCTTTGACAATACCTCACTTTTGGCCGTTTGTTGAGCATTCGCCCTGTGAGGAATGCTTTGGATTCTGTCCCCTGGCCGACACATACCAAAGTCTTTAAAATTACAGTTACTACTCCTGCTTAACGCTCAGCAAATTAGGAATGGGACGACTGGTTCGCCCGTTGTCAGTATAATGTGACCGGGTGGGGCGTCCTGCTGGGTGTCTTCGGCAGTATGTTTCAGTGAGGTAGCACTATAAAGTCGGTATCAGTTCCGCGCTACCACAAAGAGACAAATACGGACATATCGCAGCCTCCCAAAACACATGTATACACTACATGCATGCATCTTGCACACAGGGGAGGCCGTCCTTAAATGACCTTAGCTGTTAATAGGACGTTAAAATCCTTCTTTTACTGTTGGGATTGTGGAATTTTATCCTAATTTGGTATGGAGCATCCTTGGGTAAAGGGGACTCAATTTTGTATAAACGATTGGTGTGCCCCCCCTTGGGACAGAGAGGTGTGGTCCAATAGGGAAAATAGAGGTAAAATCTTTGAAATCCTTCTTCTACCATAGGAATTAAGGGACTTTTATCCCAATTTAACCTGGAGCATCCTTAGGCAAAGTGGACTTAATTTTGAATAAACGTTTGGTTTGGACCTCCTGGGGGCTGAGAGTTGCGGGGCCCAATAGCGAAATTAGAGGTTTAAATCTTTAAATTCCCTCCTCTTCTGCACCATTGGAGGGATTTTATTACCGTGGTTACTTTATTATTCAGGTGAGCGATACAGACCCTCTGGGCCTCTTGTTTAAGAATGGTATTAGAAAGCACATATAACTATATACTAAAATAGTTCTAATAATCCCGAATTATAAACTTTTCCGAATGCACTCGAGTGTCCCGAAGGTCCCTTTCATTTATTTGAACAATAGTTGAATTTTTACTGGACTTAAAGAAATTGTTCTTGTTGGTGAGGATAACTATCATTCATCAGATTTTCGCACGGTTTTTTTAAACAGAGAGAGAAAATGAGAATAGGTTTCTTAGTACTTTCATGTTGTGGGTCCAGTAGGTCTAGTGCAGCTGTGATGATGATGCCAAACTCGGTAAGAGCGCAGACTTTTTATAATAAGAGTCACCAAATACTCAAATATAAAGTGAGTTTTGCAAATTCATTTCGATTAATATTGTTTTTTTTGTAATCAGCCTCGTTAATTTTGTGTCTGTTATAGCATGTTCATGAAGTTGTTATTTGTTTTATGTTAGTTATTAACAACCTGGTTTCCGTGACATGAAATGTGTCTGCCTGGAAAGGTAAGAGGTATACCATTTATTCTAAGCTAAGTTTGATACTTTTACCTTTAGCATGTGACAAGTTCCTGTAACCAACATCTAATAGGTCAGTAGGGTTTTACTACAGTACATTAAAACAAAATCCCCATGGGCGTT